CACTGATCACAGTGCTGACGAAAAATATCGTAGTAGTACACGGTCATGAGTTAGAGTCCCCTTGTTGTTGAGCTAACCGTGAGAGGTTATCCTCTCCAAGTAACGTAAATGCGAGTTAGTTCCATCAAAAAGTCCTCCACGTAGGCTAGTTTCTTCCAATGCTTGATCCTAGGGCCGGGATAGCCTGGTTGGTAGGGCAGTGGGACCATGTCCAAGCGGTTGTCGGTTCGACCCCCCGCCTGACGAAGACTACCAGTGTAGTAAATGGTGACTGATGCACGCTATATCTGTCAAGTCACAAAGTCCTCCATGTTCCCATAGCAAATCATACCTCTGGGGGTACTGATCCAGGAGTTTTCTTGTCTTTTGGATCGGGTTCAAAACTATAAGGCTAAGGAGTTGAACATTAGTGGTTGTAAACCCAAAATTGGGTTTGCTGTTCAACGACGCTTATAAAATAAAATGCTTGATTCTGGAGTTGTCTTCTGGGCTGGATTCATAATTACAAGACTATGCAGTTTAACGTTGATAGTTGTAAACTCAGACTTGGGTCGTCTGTTCAACGGCGGTTATAAAATAAAATAGCCATTAAGTAAACTTTGAATATAATTTTTATAAGATAGTGAATTGTTTTCTCGTATTATTAAAAAAAAAATTCTTTTCAATGTGGTAAATGTATTCAATGCTTTAACTTAGTACTCTCTTTATCGCACTTTGATTTTCATCATCTTAAATTAATGATAATATACATTCGAATTTCTCTTCACCACAGTGTTTCTGTTTCATATAATAAATTTAAATTTTTTTAATGGTAGATTAAGATAGAACGCTTGCTGGATCCGAACCTAAATCTATGTACGCTACTGATCCTAGGCGTACTCAATTGTCAAAATAATAGTGAAATATTGATTACTTTTCACAATAGAGTATACAAGTAAATATTGCATGGTAGTGTGGAAATTAGAGTCCATTGTATGCATTCATGAGATTTGTAAATTTATTTTACAAAGGGTTCAATAAAATCATCAATTGTATTTTTTCTCGTTTGTATATTGTATTCACTCTTTTTATGGAGTTCTGTGATAAGTTGATTTATTTTCTTGATTTTTATTTTTGCTTAGCAGTTTTCTGGAAGTATGTTATTTAGCAAAAATGGCTATATAGCAGATCGAAGAATAAAGTTTCTGTCTTAACAAGTTCAATATTAATTAGGAGAAATATTTGATATAATTTTGTGTATACTCGCGATATATCACCCTTACGAAGTTCATTTTTGTTTGGCATCACAGGTGTCGTTATATCGATCGCTAATTGTATTTTAAGAGTGAACCAATAAAGATGTGAAAGAATTAANGAGTTATAAATAATAAATGAGTTAGAATTAAAAAAAAACAATTAATGCAATGAGATTTTAGACTTTTCGGGGGCCCCATCAGAACTCGGGGCCCTGGGCCAGGGCCCATCCTTAAAAACGGCTCTGATTTTAAGAGTGAACCAATAAAGATGTGAAAGAATTAAAGGTGAATTTTGAAGCATTTAAAACCGTGTCTTGCATAGGGTGTTCTGTAATGACTGTTCATAATAATTAAAAATAATGATGTCTATAGTATTTTTAAGGTTTCCTAACTTATAATATTTATCAGAAAAAAAAAGGTAAAAATATTATCAAATTTAAACTAATTATAGAGGCCGATCCGATCAATAACAATGCCTAGTGACAAACATTAAATGGAAATTCTAAAAACAATTTAATTTTTCTGATTAATCTAAGAGGTGTTTTCCAACTATTGTCTTTTAACTTCTGTTTCCTACGGCATTAAACAGGTTTTAACCTTTTTATTTAACGTTAACATTGCCTTCCTTAGTAGTGACTCGTTGGATTTCGAGAATGTTTATGCTTTTCCCACATAAACAGCAATTTGAGACCTCTAATGTGCATTATTAAAGGTCATTTCCTACAAGCATTCTAAAAATATTCATTAAGGACAGTGAAAAGGAACACCCTGCATATAGGGTCAGAATCTGGTTGATCATCACGAAACACCCTGTATTACCAGCGGTACATATCAGATATGTTCAGTCGTAATGGTCATGGCAACACTTTTTTTAAAATTACTGTTTAAGAAATTATTTAATTTATTAAAAAAAAATTATTAATAATTTAATTACTTTTTTATAAAATTAATTAATTTTAAGAATTTTATTAATTACTTCTTAATAAATTTATAATTTTTTTAGAATTCAGTTCTAACTTGATTCAGTTTTTACATAATCAAAAACTTAGAATGTTCCGAAATGCAGGACCTTTAAGTTTGACATCATACTGCAATGGGGTGCGAAAATTGAAATTGGCTCAAGGTGCTATGCTACGCCTCCATATCACACAGGAAATGATATTTTGACTTATGGATTGTCTCTTAAACCTAACCTAAGATCTAAATTCAGTACATGAAACTATTAAAGGTGCTATCTTTTCTTATTGTTGTTAATGTATACACATTAAGCAATTGATTACAAACTTTATATCCATATGATACTTAACTATAATTATTTCTTTAAAATATCTTCTGATTACTTACTTGTAAATTGCTTTTGTAGATTTTCTATCACTGCACTTATTATTTTAAGCTTTATTCAAGGTAAACTCATAATACTTATTAGAAATGAAGATTTCTATTATAATTTTAGTTTTGAAATCTTAGTTACAGATGAAATTCATTCTTCAGAATTCTGAAATTTCATTAAATTAAAAATAAGCAATTTTATTGGTATCTTATGATTTACATACATGCGTATGCTTATAAATGCTAAAAATTGATTAAGAAGTAAAATTGCTAATTTCTCCAATGTAAATGTTTATTTACTATCTAAATTTGTTAGATTTCAAAAATTTGTATGATATTATATTAATGTTCTTTTATTTAAAAAGAACATTTATAATAAATTTATTGAAAGCTTAAGAATATGAATTAATTTCTGAAATGTTCATGATTTTAATAGTCTTTTAAAAAAATTGATTATTAATTAGAGTTGCTTCTTAAATGGAAAGTGGAATTAAGAGATATAAAAAAAGCTTTACGTTAAAATAACACCGATTGCAAGATAATTTAATGTTTGGACCTCCGGAAAACATTATATAATAAATGTTTTGCAATATAAAAAGGCTTCAGTGCCTAAAAATGGATTGAAAAGCATACGATCATTACTGAACGTTAACACTTCATGAATTTTCAAAGTTCATTATAAATTAGTACTATCAGTGGTATTTTCACACTTCAGGGTTTCTTTGTTTCCAAAATGTGTGGCCTCCTTTCATTGCTATATTTTATTCTGATTTAAAATCCACCCCTGAAGAAGTTATTGAAGAATAACTTGATACAAAAGATAGCAAACTTCTAGTGAAAACATTAAAATAGAATTACAGGGTGGCCACTCAGGGGATAGAGTGCTAGCCAGGTCACCTTATGGGAGACCTGGAAAGGTCATCTATTCAGAAACCATGGAAGTTTAACAGGGTTACTATGAACCAAATTTTGATGCAAGCGAAGTATTGCTAAGTTGATTTTATTTCAACTGTTTGGCAATAAATTTTCGTCTAAAAGTGGGTATAACAGTCGGTAAAATAATTTTAATTAAGAAAATTAGAAAAAAATTTAAATTAGTAAAATTAAGAAAAATCAAAGAAAACTTTCCAGCTTTTCTTTAAAAAATCCCTGATTTTTCCAGGTGTCTGTCTAAATTTCCTGATTTTTCCAATACAATAAAGAAATTTCCTGGTAATTCCAGGTTTTCAAGGTGGGGGGCCACCCTGAATTAAAAACTTAGTGCTTGTTGTTCAATTTTTATTTCACTGGTTGTTTATGATGTTGTACAATCTAAAAAAAAAACAAACAGATTAAAAGAATTGAAAAAAAAAAACTATTTTCCCAACTCTAGTTGCTTAAATATCTTTTTTGATGAAACATTGGCTTGTATTGACTTTGGAAAGAAAACATTAACACAGCTTAAAATAATGAATTGATTATTTATATTTAACAATTTTTGTTGTTATGAATGTAATAATATCAAAATATAGTTAAATATTGACTGAATATATTTAAAACACCTAATAACATTAGCATATTTTAGAATTTAATTTCTAATTATTCATTCATGTTTTATATGAAACCAAACTCACTGAACATTTAAGAATGTTCTCTAACAAAAAAATCTAAGTTAGTATTAATTTTATCATCCTTCAATCTAATCTATTTAGGTTAACGAGAAACAAATGCCATTTGTGTGAAACCACCACATAACCTTTTAATAAGTTAAAGGAGTCTCAGATAGTTTTTTTCTTTTTTAACAATGGCTCATTCCTCTAAAACGGTTAGCCAGCTCAAGTGCGGTGTTAGAAATCAAATGGAACATCTACAGTCTACACAAACATTTAAAACATAAGAAATAAATTTATTTAGTCCAATGATTTAATTGGATTTGTAGCACAATATTTGAATTGGAACTATGTGGGTTAAGTCCATATGTCAATAATAATAATTGTTTGTGTTTCATTATGTTGACATCCACAAATAGTTAATATTAATAAGTAAAACTGAATACATTTAAAATTAATAGTAATCTAAATTTATTTATCATTTAAGAAAAGGCAACAGATGCTCAATATGCCATTATGAAATAGCAAAAATGTGAACCGCATAAAAGATTTAATTTTTTTAAAAAAAATAATACTTACACTAACATTGTTACTTTAAGTGCAAATTAATAAAAATTTAGGTTATTATACTAATTTCTTTGTGATGTAATGGTTTAATGATATAAATATGCAGCAAAAATAAGAACTCATCTAACATTTAATACTACTTCATCTACTTTTAATATTTTACCTTTAATATCTACTTTTACATCAACCTTTAATATCTACTTTTCTTCATCACAAGAGAGCGCATTAGTTGCGACAGTTAAGATATATTACTTAACATATTCAAAAGAACACAAGAAACTAAGATAAACTAATTTAATTTATTAAAAAATATAAGCAATCACAGATCAATAAATTGTCTCACTCAATTAAATAAATTAAACTATAAATAATTACATCTAAACAGTAGCACAACTTTTGTCATTTTACACACATTAAAAACACAGAAATTTATAACAAACACTGAAACAAGATATCAAGCTATAACATTAATAAAATAAAATTAACAATAAATTTAATTTTATTTATCTCAATTTATGAATTATACTCTCAAAGTGTCCTGAAAAACCTGTTTTAAACTTTGTGTTGTGTATTTGTGAGGGGCTGTTAGTGCATTATTGCAAAAAACTTTTATAAAACATGAGTACAAATCAACCATGACACTAAACATAATTAATCTATGTGTACACAAATATTGTAAAGCACTAATTACTGAATAAAAATTTCTTACATTACTTTTTTTTTTTTTTTAACCTCTCCTCTCATACACCAAAAAGATAGTAGTATTTAGCCCTGAATAATATGGCTGTTAAAATTACAAACATTAAGCATTCAAAATCATAAATTATGGTAAAAATAAACAGAATAATAAATTGGCTACTTGTTGACAACTTTTCCTCAAAAAATTAATAGTGATGATCAAATATATATGAATAAAATCTAATGTTTCCTATCAAGGCTCATGAATACTTATAAACAATACAATGTGAAACAATCTAGTAGATAAGATATTAAAAATATTTGCTTTTCAATCAAAATTGATGGTTAAAATAGTAAAAAAAAAAGTAAGGAATGATATTTTGAAACAACGCAACATATAAAATCTACACATGCAGATACGTCTAAACATTTAAACAAAAACAATTACTTATATAAAACAGTAGTATCGGCTAATATTGAAGGCAACATAGCTTTGTCTTGCAATACAAGCTCAACTTCTCCATCATCCATTTTTAAACTGATTTTTGTCAATCTAGGTACTTGGGACATTTTAAGTTGAACAAACCCCCTGGATTCTACAAGTTTACAAAGTGATTGAAAAGAACATTCATCCACAAAAGTAATGTCTCGTTTCTTGCATATGCGTTTACAGACATCATATGCCTTGCCAAGAGTCATGTCCTGTGTTTTACAGTGCTTCTTCATCAAAACAACAGTACAGAGTAAAAGCATCTGATTAAGCGGCAACGTAACAGTAGTAGAACCAGCAGAAGAATTTGTAACTTGTAAACGAGAGCCGTATACCTCGCTGAGGACGGAACTGATCTCTTGGACATCAACTTTCTGGATTATGGATGATCTCTTCATGGGACTGCCAGGATTGCATCGGTCATCAGAAGTTGCTTGGAGTGTCGGTTGTCTGGTTAGCCTATTTTCTACGATTTCAATTGCTCGCCTGCATACATCTAAAGCTTTTCGAATATCTCCAGTGTTAGCAGCGATTTTTCTAGCACAGAGCTGAACAGCCATTGGTGAAATTACAAGAGTTCCATCAGTTTGAGCCTCCGAGAGTCGATCTTCAAGTATAGTCACTATTTGATCTTTGGTGTAAGGAAGGAAATGCATGAGTTTTGGCTGGAATTTGAAAGTGTTCAATAGTGGTAGCATTCTGTCCGTCAGATCGAGAGAATTAGCAATGCCAATAAGAACGAGCGAAGAATTTGGCATGTGTGGCCACTCAAACAAGGAATAGAGCACTTGCTGTCCTTTAGTGTCCAAATGGTCAATTTCATCAAGCACAAGCACGTTCATAGTTTTAGAATTTAAAATGTGATTTTTTAGAACCTGAGCGATATTTTTGGAGTTAATAGCCTTTGCTGATAGTCCAAGTTCCTTAGAAATCGCCCTGTAAATGGCTGTTGGCGTGTTCACAGTCATACAATTGATGAAGGCAAATGAAAATGCTGCTTCAATTCCTTTTTTTACAAACATCAAGCAGCTCGTTTTTCCAGTTCCAGGCGCTCCGGATAAGTACAAACTGCCAGGTTTTTTGTTAGAAATGTGATCAGAAAGAAAACAATGAATTTCAGACATTTCTTTAGATCGGCCCACAAGTCTAGTAGGGAGGCGAGTGTGAAATACTTGCTTCACTTTAGACAAAGTTGAATCAGTTTTCGTCGGAAATTTCTCACTTTTAAGTCTATCAATAATCGTATTTTCATCACTAATTCGAGCTTTCTTTGGGGAAGCGTCAGGATTAGCTTTTCCAAAAAGAGCTCTTTTGACTCCAGTCGATTTAGGAGATGGTCCAGAATTTTCTGAATTATTGTTGAGAGAATTTCTTTTCCGAATGGGAAAATTGTACTGAGTTTTCAACGACATAATGCTGAAGAGATAAAAAGTGTAATAATTTCTATCAAATTAATATTTCAAGTCAGAAAAAACGAATTGCGACACACTACAAAACCTCACAGCTACACTCGCATTGAATCTTATCAAGGAATTTCCGCGCCAAAATGTTAATACAACATCCTGCGCGCCCTCGTTCTGTACGACCAATCAAATTCGTCGCTTAATAAAATTTTTCTTTTGTAAATTATTTTTATTATTTCCATTGTATTATAATTTTATAAATTCCAGTATGTGCTATTTTTCTATTAAACACGTATCCCACGGTTAGAAAAATAAAATAAATTTTATTATATTTTACGATTTGGAGTATTAGTAACCATAGCTGGTTCATATCTATCTAGGAATTTCTTCGAACAAAATAAAAACAAAAAGATGGTAGTATCAACAGAAGACCACATGGATTCAATAAATGGTGATATTAAAGGGTATTTCGACAAAAAAATGGAAGATTGGACAGTAAAAGTTCGATCAGGCTCCAGCTTAGTCAGCGTCAAACCAATATTTTCGTATGATTCAAAGTAAGTGAGGAGGTTTATAGTTTCCCTGTCAGAGTAATATTTTTATGTGATTCAATGTTTCGTACTAAAACAACTCATATTTAGTGCTCTTTTATCTCCCTATGATCCCAGTCATCTGAAATTTATATGCTTTTTGTGGAATTATAAGTTATTTTTTTAAATTTAATTTTTTTCTTCATCTTTCTATATTATGCATTTATAAGTATTTCAAGCATTACCTAATGTTTGTTGTTGTAGTTCATTTACGTCGCACTAGAGCTGCACAATGGGCTATTGGCGACGGTCTGGGAAACATCCCTGAGGATGATCCGAAGACATGCCATCACAATTTTGATCCTCTGCAGAGGGGATGGCACCCCGCTTCAGTAGCCCGACGACCTGCACGAGAAGTCGAGCACTTTACAGTAGAACAGTTTAACGAGGACCAATGCCTCACACCCTCGGTCCCTACGCAGACTGATCCAAGTGGTCACTCACCCGCACACTGACCGCAGCCAATGATGCTTGACTTCGGTGATCTGCTGGGAACTGTATCTTAACGATCAGTCCTCTGCGGGACCATTAGCTAATGAAATATAGCTTTTATATTTAAAGCTAAATTTTTCTAAATAGCCCATTTAGGGTTAGATTAAGCATGATCTTCAGTATTTTTTCAAAAATGTAATTATTTCATTTTATGGAAATATTTCTGTATTGGCACCCCCTGCTTGTACTTCCCCACAACAATGGGAATATTTTCGCATCATGATCTGTCGTGCCAACTACGATCACCAAGGTGCCAAATAGATTTTAAACTTGCAAATGTTTTAAAAAAAAAACTTGTAAATATTTCCCCGGGGGTTGCTTTTAAGTTGGTCTCTTTCTGTGATGTTTTTTGAAGTTTCTCATAGGCCACTGCCAGAAAGTTGCCAAGACTTGGCAATTTCTGACACAGATCACAGAAATCTCCCCACAACAATTAACAAAGGGTTATTGAGCCTGTAAAAATTTGAAAATTTTTTTTTGTTTTGGCTACCAGTTATACGTACATATGAGTTATCTATAACACTGGATACCATTGTGTGTATGTCACGATTTTTGTTGTTGCAAGTATTGATACTGAAACCATTCTTTATTTTTAATTGATTTACTTGTAACTTCTTGTCTAATACTTGTATTTTTAAAAAATTTAGTGTACCTACCTTTAAAAGTTTTCTCAACTCACACCAATTTTCCATCGAGAGTAACTATACAAGTAATTTCATTATTAGGAAAACAGAATAAGTTTGCATATAAGAGTTTAATAACTAAAAAATAAAATTTGAGAAAGTTGAAAAAAAAAAAGAACTCTAAAGAATGTAAACAAAAAAGATCATGATTCATAGCCACCTCGGTTTGAGCCTCTATTTTTAGACATAGTTTAAAACATATTGTTTTCTGTTCACAACAAAGACCAATTCCAATATAAATAAGTATTTTTAAACCAAGTACAATATTTAGTACAAATTTGTGACACTAGGCGATTGCACTTGGCATGATATATGACTGTGCTGTACTGGAATGCCACCAGAGCAAAATGCAAAACACTTTACGTGTATTTTAAATTTTTTTTTCATTTTAACTGGAGAAATTTGAAGAAAAAAAAAGGAATAACTGTAAAGGATGCAAACTGAAGAAGATCATAATTCCTAGCAGCCCCAGGGCATGGGTGCAAGTCTTCCGTCTCCAGGACGGATTTCCGTCTTTCAAAAATGTCCGCGGACGAAAGTAAGACGGAAACAAGACTTACTCGAAGACGGAAATAAGAATTTTCTTTTTCTGTCCTTAAAAATATTTTTTAGGTCTACGTTATTGGTCTACTTTCTTATGTCCTTTTGTTATTTTATCAAAAGAGAAATGAATAAATATTTTTTGTACAGTATTTAAGCTTGATGTATTATGGTAAAGCTTTCTTAAATATTTTGCATATGTCGAAGGGGTATTGGTATGTTCGGTATTTCAGTCAAAAAATTTTCAGTCTTGGCCTTTTTTCCAACTTTCACCCATGCCCCAGGGTGAACTTCTTTTTTTAGACATATTTTAGAAATTTATTGTTTTCTGTTCACATGTACCAATACTAATATTAATTAGTACTAGGACCAAGAACAATAATTAGTGCAAATTTATGGTTCAAAGCAATTGTTGGCATGATCAATTACTTGAATGTTCCCAAAGCAATATGTGAAACATTTAATATGCATTTCCAATTTCTTCTCATTTGCAAATTCAATTTCCCTTTCTAAATACAATTTTAAATATAGTTTACTCTAACAGCCAGTAACAATGGTAAATTTACTTGCCAAATTTTTTTAAAAAATTTATGTATCTAATTTCTAGAAGGGCTAGTATCTGATTAATCATAAGGCCTAAGAGGCCTGGGGCTACAGCCTTGTAACTATCATTTGCATATTGTGATCTGTGGCAGAATAATCGCAGAGTCTTGGCAACTTCTGGGCAGCGGCCCGCGAGGAACTAAAAAAACATCACAGAAAGGGACCAACTCAAAAGGTATAACTCGTAGTCACCCCAGGCAAACATCTACATGTTTTTTTTTTCTTTTTTAATTTGCAAGTTTAAAATGTTTTGCATCTTGGCGATTATAGTTGGCGCGGCAGATCACGATACAGGAATATCCTCGAGAAATGATCAATGGAGGTTCTACTGTATTTACAAAATCATTTATTACATAATAATTTTTTTGATTGAATTTTTATTTCTTTATCATAGCAATGCCTTGCAAAATAATTCATCTTTGAACAAATATTTTTTGTTTTTGACATTATTTTCCTCTATTTTTTAACGAACTTTGCTTTTATTGGTTGGTGCTCGAGCAAATCCTGCATGAAAAAAAAATCTGAAAGGTATTTTGTATGTTAACACGTTTTCACTGGAATTTAAACTTTTATAGATTACAAATAATGCATAATGGTTTTCAATATTTGGAATAACATTATTACTAATTAGTTATAACAATTTCATTTTTAATTAGATGCTTAATTGTGGCTAGTGGACCAAACATCAAAGTGTACAATGTGCAAAGCTGTGAATGTCTTCACATCTTGAGATATCATCAAGCTAACATTGTTGGTCTTCAAGAATACAAAGATAATTGCCTGCAGGTAAAAATAAAAATTCCAAAGCATTTCTAATTTTTATTTATCTTTTATTTGTAATTCACATTTTATTTATTACCATTTTATCCATTATAATTTTAGTTCTTAAGCTGTTCTCAAGATGGCATTGTAGTACGGTGGGAGATTGTTGAAGGAACCTTATTAAAAGTGAGAATTATTATCATTTGACACATACTTTTCATTGTTTTGAACTTTGTATATTTTTTAAAGATGAATAATAATTTTTTAATTATATTTTGTTGATGAAACTTTCAGTTGTATTTGTTTTCTTATAAACAAGCTACAAAATTTTTTAATTTCAATAAAACTTTTTAACATTTACCTCAACCCAGTATCTGCAATCTCCACATTAATCTGCAACACTATGAAAAAATTATAACATATATCTGCAGATCATGTTAAATTATTTGTATTTAAATCTTGCTCTTGCAAAGTTACAAATTTTTGAAACAAGAGTGCTTAATACTGTAATATATGATTTTGATATGTTAACTGCACTATTAATAGAAAGTACTTAAAATAAATTAATTGAAACTTGCTTAGGGAAGATAAATGAACTTTAAAAGTTGGAAGCAGTAAATTCTAAATTTTCCCTGCAATATTTTTTTCTTCTTGTGAATATGTGAATTGTATGTATGCAAGTTCACAATTAATTACGAAATTATTTATTATTAATTGTAAATATGCATAAATTTAAATTTATCTTGCAATTAATATTTATAACCATTTATTATTTTCAAATATTTATGTTTTAATTGCATATGTTTATCTTTTAAAATATTTTAATTAGATAGATTAGTTAATATAAGATTTAGCTAACATTTTTATTGGTAATCATTAAATCTCTTAATATCAAATTAAATTTTTCTTTATACTGATCTATTTACTTACATGTTCTTAGTAAAAGCAAAATGATTTAATTGCATACTTCGTTGATTTAAAAAATATTCTTTTTTTTTTTTTTAATTATGTATTGGCAACTTTGGTTATGTTTAGTTTATCATTTATCAGTTTAATAAGTCGAAAGTTTTTTTCAACTGCTTTGAAAGAATGGGACTAATAATTAAATTTCGTTTTATATACAGGTTTACAAGCTAAAATCACAGTTAGAAGTTGTCAGTTTTTACGCACCCTTTAATACTTTAACATGGTTTGTTAATAGAAGGATTCCGGATCCAGGTAAGAAATATTCACTTCTTCTTAGCATTTTAACATTAAAATTTTATCAAATTAAGATTGATTAAATTTTAATGCAATTAGAATTTAGAAAATAAACTTTTTTAGCTCAAAATTAAGTCTAATTAAATTAAGTCTAGGTTGACTCTTTTTATCCACCTTGATTATATTTCTTTAAATGCTTATACCATTCCAAACCAAATGATTTTTATTTCTCAAAATTAATTGGATCTCTCTAAATGTTTGACAAAACTATGTTTGAAGATTATTTAAAAATGGTGGTAAAGTACTATGAACGAAGGAGAATGATTATTGAAAAGTAGAAACTTGCATATAACGATGGTAAATTTCAATGAAATAAATAAAAAAAGAAAAGAAAAATCATTGGGATTATGATTTGTTGTATGAATTGCCAATGTATATTTTTTTTAACATTACCTTACGATCATTGATGCCTTGCACAAAAATAAAATAGGATCATAAAGAGTGAATATTTGGTAGGTTGGATTAACAGATGATAAGAAAATAAGACTGAGAAACTACTATTAAAATGATTAAACAATAAAACTATTTGAAAACAAAAACCGAGTAATTAACTATACATATCTGCTAACTCTTCTGCATATTGCAGAAGCTTTTTGCTTTTATGTTCCATTTTTTGCTTTTCTACACCGAGCTTCAAATTCTGTACTTTCTTAGAACTACTTATATATACATATACATGTGTAAAAATGGGCTTTTATGCATTGCTTAGACAATGATATCTTGTAGTTTTGCTGATTTGTTGATGAATGTAAGATGTTAAGCATCTGATAGTTTAGGATCTGATAGTGAGGGTTTTCTTTAGGTCCCATTTTAGAATTATTTGAGCTGATTGCGTTAAAAGGGTGCATTCCAATAACTGCACTGTAGATTCTTTGAATAAGAAATTAAATTTAAAGCACATTAAATCTTGTGGTAAATAATAAACATAAAATATTTATTATTTACCACTATTTAAACTTTCTTCATAAATAATGTAAAAGATTACTTAACAGTAGTATCAATATTGTTTTTGCAATGTTGGACCCATCTTTTGCATCTGAATAAGTATTTATTGTTCTGCTTTTCACTTTTTATTTAACTATAATTTTTGTGCCATTTGTTCCTAAATGTTTAAGAACCATCTAGTTTTCAATTAGTTTCACTGCCCAGATGTTGTTGTTTATTACGTGCATTTTCATTTTGGCTTTAGATTTCAATGGCAATCTCAGCTAATTAATTATGAAAATTAAAACTTAGTTAACTTCAAAATGTAAAGAAATTTTTTAACTGATGATTAAAGTTCTAATTTTGACGACATTTGTATTTTTTGCTAATTTTGAAACTTTTTCTCATATAGGACATTTTTTAAAAAAAAGATACATAAAGAATTTCTTAAGTTTTTTTGAGGTATTCTTTTTTTAAATTTATTATTGGCTTTGGTTCGTTTAAGTTCACATTAAATGCGAGACAAGAAGAAAGTGCATCAATATATTTTTCTTTTTTTGCTAACTTAGCATATAATGTTTATTTCAAACTTTAATGAATGTAGAAAATGAACTGCATTTTATTATATATTTTGACATAAATGAGAATCAAACAGTGTTTTATTTTAATATTTTCACTTAATAATAGGGCATTTTCTTTGAATTTTTTAAGGAAAACTTTACAATTTTTAAGGACACTTTTAGGGATTTTTTAAGTTATTTAATTTCCGGGGTAAAAGAAATCTGGTATATCACCAGTTAGAGTAAGATACCAGATTTCTTTCAACCCAATAAGCTTATCAATAAAGAATTAGTGAATCACAACAGGCTGCTAAAAATAGAATGTTTGGGGGAATCACAAAAGTGAGATATGAGACTGTTTTCAATCTCAATATGCTAATTAATAGAGAATTAGTGAAGAACAAAAGACTTCTAAAAATAGAATGTATTGGGGAATCACAAAGTGTGATCCCAGACTTCTTTTAACCCAACATTCTAGTCAATAGAGAATTAATGAAGAGCAACATGCTGCTAAAAATAGAATTCATGAGGATATTGCAAGTAGCTCTGATTTGAATTAAGTGATTGGGGATTGGTCGAATACCATTTATCAACATTTGGTTCATTGACTCTCGCTTCTGCCATCGAACTTCCACATGGTTAAAAGCATTATCTGGTTCCTAAATAATGCAATTAATTTACTCCTAGTTTAACTCCAAATTAAAAGCTTCAATAATATCGTAAAATCTTTTTATTTTTTCATATTTTTTAAAATAAAAGTTTCCTTACAACTAAATATTATGATTGAAGCAAGTTGAAATGTTGTAGATATTCAAATTATTATTTCCCCAAAATATTATTTCTTACTATCCAAATCAGATTTTATAATTTTATTAATGTCCCAATTTTCTTCTAATCATTTAAGTATTATAACTCTTTATTTTAGTAGAATATCTTTTTATTTCCGTTTTTTATTTAATGGGGTCCCACAATGAACCGGTCGTAAATACATAATAGTTTTCTGATTTTGGTCAAAGTCAAGTATTACAAGCAGCGGACAGTGTGCATGTGGGTGACCACTTTGATTAGCCAGCATAAGGGCCGGGGGTACATGGTATTGATCCTTGAATAAACTGTTCTAATGTAAAGTGCTTAACTTTACATTAGAACTTATTTAAAGTTACTTATTTAAAGTAACATTATAAAGTTATTTTGCTGTCAAAGTGGAGGATCTATGCCCTCTGCAGAGTATCAAAATTATGATGGCTTGCCTCAGAGATGTTTCCCTGACTCTCGCCAATAGTCCATTGTGCAGCTCTAGTGCAACATAAGAGAAGTACTACTACTTTTTTTTAAAGATATGGTGGTAGTATTGAATGATATTCTGTTATCTAAAGCTTGTCACGAAAAGAAAAGAAAAATAAAAATTAATAATTTAAGTTCATGTCCAAGATGATGAAAGAATATGGCTAGTAAGAATGTTCAATTTTCTAAATAAAATTATTTGTATTATACTATTAGTATTAAATACATTTTTTTAAAATTATGTTTTCAGATAGATACAGGTTATATTGCTATAAGATGGTTAACAATAATCAATTCAAGTTAGATATTCTTTTATCAAGTGCTCTACCTTCTGAGAATGCCATTGCTTTCGGTTCCCAGGTATGTTAATTATGAAATATTTTAACAAATAGTTCAGACTTATTAAATAGAATCACAACTGTGATTGTAAAGAAGAAAAAAAAGTAATTTTCATTTTTAAATTCTGAAGGGTTGAAATTTTATTACATCCATGAGGGGTTGAAATCAAGAAAATTTATTTATTGGTCTGAAGATATAATAGCTAAAAGATATTACTACACTGTATACAATTTTGCTAGAGCATTTACATGTCTCTATCAGATGTGCTTTAGAGAAAACAAAAAATTAAAAAAAATTATAATGTCACAATTATGACAAAGTGTTCTATTTTGTTATAATAACGCAGACAAAAACACAAAACCGAAAATTAACTAACAAAAGCAGGATACCATCCCTTCACATTGATTGCTTGTCTGTGGGCAAATTGATGATTATTTTCTAGTGGTCCAAGTCAAATTTAGTGGTCGAGGGTTACATTACATAATAAATAAGATCAATAAAGTCAAACTTATTTATTGTGATCCCTAATATATTGACATCCAAGTAAGAATTTTTTTTTTAAATGGTTGATTTGATGAAAGAAAAATTATGTATAACTTGTTTTATGTGAGCATTGCTTGGATTTAATAAAGAGTATTTTTCATAAATTTTTTAAAATTGGCGATTTCAGTAATAAAATAAAAAAAATCTGTGATGATAATTTTATGACCTTCAAAAGGGCTTAAAATCCGATTTTAGTTAAATTGTTAGAAAATTATATTTTTAAAATGAGTAACAGTGAGAATTTCCTCATCATTTTTGAGCCAGAAGAGTTATAAAAATTATGGATGATCATTGAAATAACTAACAGAAAATGTTGCTATATTCAGGGTATCCGCGCACCTGGAAAGTCATGAAAAATTCATGGAAAGTCATGAAAAATCCTGGAAAGTCATGAATTTCGGTATTGAACAAAATTTGTCATGAAATGTCATGATTTTAACTATTTTTTAAAAAAAATCATGAAAAGTCATGGATTTAGATCGACAAAAATTTTTATTTTTAAAATGGGATTCCCCAGCTCTTCCATTTTCATGGTGTTCCAAATATCTGAATTTGTGACAAAATCCCCACTCAGAGTCATATTTTATTAAAATATAAAATGTTTTTATTGTTCTTTATAAATTAGGATATTTTTTCAAAAAATGAAAGAAAAAATATCATTTTTGGAGTGAAGTATCTTTTAAACTGTGATTTCTGAATTGTTATTATTTTTTTTATTTTATCAATTTAAAATTCTTGCTGAAGCAAGCCAGTCATTGGCACATTTTTTTTAATTCTGAAATGAGAACAGAAAAATCAGGAGTAGTTCTTTCCTTTCTGATGAACAAGAAAAGTATTTTTAGAATTTAATTCTGCAGAGAAAAAAAATTATTTGCTCAGTTATTATTTTTTCAGCTATTTTATTGCTTCAACTCTTTCTTTACTCTGTTTTCTGAATTTAAAATCAATAAATATGAAGATGCAGAGTATAACAGTTTTGGTAATACCTAACATTTCAATGAATGTTATTATAAGGCTTTTTAAATTTATTATTCTGTTTTTGTCGGAGAAAATAGTAACTTTGTTAAGTTTTGAAAAGTTCTTGGAATTAGTCATGGAAAGTCGTGAAAAGTCATGAATTTGAAAATCTAAAATGTGGCAGATACCCTGTATATTAATCATTGAATAGATTCTATCTCTGGCTGCTCATGCATCAGCATCCAGTCTAAATATGAATGATTTCCGCTCTCTCTCTCTCTTTATTTTTTTAAAGTGTCAAATTTATTTTAGTAATACATGTCGGGACATGTTTATAAGTCAGTGTTTGAAATTAATAGTGGATGATTGGTTTGAGACTGCTCAAATTTGACTTAGACCACTATAATGTAATTATTAGTAGTCCCCTAGACTATTAGATGTAAAGGAAGATGTAATATAAACTTTATTTATTTTTTGTTTTTCAGTTTGGTTTGCATTTTTGTCACAAAATAGCATATTTTATCATAGTCAGGACATTACACATTTCCTGCATTATAAAATTTCGTTAAAAATTCTTTAAAAATTTTTTTTTTTAAGAAAATGTAATAAAGAAATGCAAATGGACCTGTGGAAATATGATTAGTGAATATTTTCATAAACTATACTCTTGCATTTTTAATAATAGGAAAATGCTAAGTTTTTTTTGGTGTCAAACAATTTAAATTATACAGTAATTAAGTAAAAGTATAAAATTTTGATTTTATTAAATCTATAAAGAAGAATTTCAGTACTCTTTGCAGTATAAAAAGTATGGTTGCAAACATTTAGCAAGATAGTTCTACCACTATCCACACTTGAAACCATGAAGTTAGCTAAGAATTCCAAACTTGTTTTGAATCAAAAGATGTGTTTGATAATGTATTTCGCACAAACTCTCCTTTTAAATTAATCTTAATATTGACCTTTCGTGGTCAAATAATTAACCAAGAATGAACAAAATTGTCATTGAACAAAAATGACAAATTTGATGTAATAAAAAAAGAAAGAACTCATACATATTAACGTATGTAATATCGAATGTCTCACACTAGTCTTTCTATTTTAATTAATAGCTAGAAATAGATTATCTTTTTAATTTGAAGACATAGGAGTCATCCTTTCACAAAGAGGCATAAAAAGCCAATATTTAGCTGTGATTGTATTCGGGGTAAATCCCGAAATTCCAATTTTTTTCATATCCTTCCAGGTCTAAAAATAAGGAGCAAGGCATGTGATTTTTCTCTGCGAATTTTGTGGAATTCTGCGTTTTTCAAGACCATTAATTTGCAGACTTCCGAGGATCAAAACTTATAATCCAACAAAATTTTCACTGCAATCTAAAGTTTAAAGTAAGAGAACACTTAAAGTAACAATTAAGAAAACTAGAATATAAAATTTAAAATTTGAAACTTTCAATAAATCACATTGACGAAGTGTTTACATGCACATGATTCTTCCGAATATTTGGAACTATGCCAGAATATCTGCTGTTATCGCAATTCATTATTCACAGGATTTTAATTTCAAACATCGATTTTTGTATTTATCTGATTTAAAAGTTGCACATTGAGAATTGATTTCATGAGATTTAAAAATTCAATATCGCAATTTGTATTTACCTGATCTTAAAGCCTATATCACGATTTGTATTCACGTGTTTTTAAAATCCAATATCATGATTCGTATTCATGCAAGTTTAAAATCAAAAGTCTCTATTCATATTCACTCGCATGTAACATCAAACATTGATTTTCGTATTTAAGCAATTTAAAATTTTAATATCCCAATTTGTATTTCCCCGTTCTTAAAATCCAATACCATGATTCTTAAGTTTTTTCTTAAATTAGTTACTATAAATGTGTGATATTCTTCATTGGTATTTAATTAATTTATAAATCTTAATTCAAAAAAGTATATTAAATGTGTATAGTATAGAAATTAGCACCTTGATGTCGAGCTATCGCACATGCAATTTTCACGATTTTTCACTTTGTATCACAATTACCCCTGAATATTCCAATTAAAAGATATTAAACATGTATAGTATAGAAATTAAATGATTGATGTCGAGCTATTGCTCATACAATTTTCAGGATTTTTCACTTTACGTCACAATTACCCCTGAATATTCCAATTAAAAGATAATTTTTCTGAAATTACTGGGTAATTATTCTTAGAAAATTATTCATTAGTAAATCAACAAAATTCCCTATTGCATTTATGGCATCATCTGTTAAAATGAATGAAGATGGTAACTTTCCCTTTTGGATGACATTCGATTATGTTAAAAATTTTCTTGCAACCTATTTCCTTTCAGAATTTCTGAAAAAAATATGGGAAAGGCCAATTTTGCATCTGAAAATTTTATTGTGATTTTGGTTCTGTGATGTTTTGATGCATATTTATGGTAAATTATTGCTCATGTTTTGAACATACATGCTTAGACTAATTTTTTGATGTTGAAGGTAACAGTCAAATTTATTGTTGTAATTTATATTGCAGGGAAATTTTGTTGCTTCACTTTATGAAAATTCTCTATGTATCGCCAAACTTGGCACTAAGGAGCCTGAACGGTGTCGGTAGGTTACTTGCTGAAATATTTATTTTTCTTAATTTTAAATGGCGTAGTTAGGTACCAGTCTAGTTATTATGGCACTCAAATGTTCTTACTAACAAACTGAGGGTACGAATTGGTTTTGCATTAGTAATTTATTATTTTTAGAAATTCTGTTGAATCAACATATTTGAATTTCCATAGTGTCATGGATTAAAAAATATTTTTTTATAAAAGTTTTTTAATGTCAGTCTTTGTAATCTTTGTAATTCGTAACAAAAATTTTTTTAAAAAAAATTTATGGTTTACATAAAAATATTAAAATAGCTATTACAGACTGATATTTTGCATTAATCTCGGGTAGAAATCAGGGTAAAGGATCAAGCAAGGACCACAATGAAATAATGGGATTAACTGAAGGTCAATATCTGCTTACGTAAACAAAATTTGTGTAGTTGAATCTAAATTTACTTGAGTTAGCATTTCTTCACGGCTATTTTAATGTGCTGGGCAATGTTAAGAGCAATGTTATTTTATAGAGCTAGCACGAAACTTAACGACGATGAAATAAAAAATAAGTTAGGATTTGAATGACTTCAAGATATAAAAAAAAAATTTTTGATAAATTATTCCATGATTGGTGATAAAAGATAAACAAGGTTAGCTGTTATTTTTGTTTTGTTTGCTGTAAAAAATATAACTAAGGATATGAAGAAAAAAAACTTTTTTTAGAAACAATAATAAATTGATGTAATTGGCCAATCATATGAGAAGATATCTTCTGTAAACTGCGGTATAAATTTCTGAAAATTCTTTTAAGCAATGCTTGGTAACGTTATTTGGTTTTAAATAAGTTCAGTCTTGAAATTTTTTTAGAGTGGCACCCACGCTAGTTGTAACACTAAGTAACAAAAGAATTTTGAATTTAGTAGTTTAAATATTTAGTATAAGTGATTTTAAAAGTTTTGCCACTATATAAAGTATTTAAATCCAAACACATGTCAGTATAAAAGTATTTTTATAAAATGTATTTTCATTAAAGGCGAAATAAAAAAATTAAAAAAAATGTTTTCTTGTAAGAAACGAGGTCATTTCCTAGAAAAACCAAAAGAGTATAGGAATTTTGAGATTAAGTGAGAAAATTATAGTCATGTAGGCTGTAACTTGATTTGTGCATGTATATGATCTGATTTCAACTATTAATAGATCTTGTAATTAAATTTGAAGAAATGTGCCATTTTAAAATACAATGAAGTAAAATACTTTTAACAAAATCAAACTATTTTGTCTTTCTTTACAAAAGTCAGATTTTGAAACATATTTTTTTTGTCATAAATTTAGCTAAAAATTAAAAAAAAAAGATATTTATTAATATATGTTATAACAATATCGAGCATATATCCAACACTTTTTTTTCATTTTATTAAAATTATTGAGGATCGCTAATCATATTCAAATAGTCAAATGGCATGCTTTTATTTATGCTTTATTCTCAAAAATGTCTCTAAATTATCCATTCTTTCATAACTTTTTCTTGCTATTTTCCGTTTTCTTAATAGGTTTGTAGAAACCTACACTGGAGGTTATTTTTGTTTAAATGTATTCGTAACTTGTACCTTATATATTTTTAAACGATAATGTCAGTTTATTTATAATATATGAAATGTCAATTCAGAGTAATATGATATCAATACTGTTTTGCATAATATATTAAAAAATGCATGATTATATATATTAATTAATACAAATTCTATATCTTCAGACATCTTACTGGCAAAGTTAAACTTACCTGTGTTGTGAGTCATCCTAAGGATGATGTAGTAGCTACTGGAGATGATTTAGGAAGAGTAATTGTGTGGTATGTTTATTTTTTTATGTTTATTCAAACTTTTTCACAATTTTTTTGAAACATGTAGTAATTGTATACAGTAAAAGCTTGGCTATCTGAGAAACATTTTTTTGTTTATTTCTGAACATTCCAATTCATCTTGTGAGGGGGATTATAATTATATGAAAACTCTAGTCACTTGAGCCTTCCGGTTAATCGAATTCTGGATGGCTGGTTTTTTACTCTGCATGAATTAAGGTATTATAAATTAAGTGCATGAATTAAGATATTATTAATTAAGTTTTTTTTAAATTGCTTTTTACTTGAGAGATTTCATGTCTCTTTAATCTCTACTTGCTTGAGTATCTAAAGATTCAGGATGCTATTGGTACTGAGAGTCATCCATAAATAATGTCACATTTGGGATGGGAGGGTTCTTAAAATTGTGACAAGTGTAGGGAGGAGTTACCCAGAAATGTGACATCATATTAGTCACTCATTTTGGTTAAAATTTAAGCATTTAAAATCAGATTATATATTTTTTGGATTATTAGTGTTTATATTTTTTAAAACACATTGCTGAAGTCTAAAAAATAAAATTTGCTCTATAATGTGTTTCTCTTCTGAACTGCTAGTAAACGTTAATTTATTGTAAATAAGAGTAGATAAGACATAAGGGTAGATAAGTGTGACAAATAGGAAGTTGGGGTCATATTGAATAAAAGTTTGACATAATTTATGAATTGCCCCTTATGTCAAAATAATGTCAAAAATTAAGTAGTACTATTTTAATATCATTACAACTACTATTTATGCCAAAAGCTATTCTGTTTGTGCCAACAAAGCTCAGTTTTTTCTCATCTCATTGTTTTATCTTTTGTTTTTTTGCATCTTATCTTATGCTGAGTTCAGCAAATGTTTTTTTGTTGTAAATACGGAATTTGATATTACAGCATATTATTCTTAAAAAATAAGCATGAGCGTATTATATTTTACAAGCATGTTATTTTTTTTAAACATAATAAAATTGAGTACAGTGTGTTTCTATGTCTGTTCATTCATATTATCATTTGATAATACCGAATTGATGTTTTTACTGTATTTGTGTATTGCCAAATTAAAAAGAAAGTAATGATATAATGGAAAATTGTTCCTTGTTTGGACAAGTTATTTTAGGATATCTTTTATTCAATGTTTTATTAATTTTGTCTTTGTTTTGTATTTAAACTAATACCTTTGATTTACACTATAGAATTATTTTTTAAACTTTTTAGGTCTAATATATTTAGTTCTAAGAAAGTTATTCGTTCAATATATCATTGGCATAGTCTACCTGTTGCTGATTTAGTTTTTTCCACTGAAGGTCAGTAAACATTTAATTTTATTTCTTTGATATTATTATATAAGTTGAATCAAAGCTTTTAGGCTGAGATAGCCTGGTTTGTAGGATGTTGGACTCATGTTTGTGAGAGCAGGAGTTCAAATCCAGTTGGTCAAGGAAACCCCTTGTATTAAATGGTGACTGCTACATGTTAAATCTGTCAGGGTAGCAAAGTCTTCCAAATTCCCATAATAAATCAATTCCACTGGGGGTACTGATTCAGGAGTTCCTTTGTCTTCTAGATTGGGTTCAAAATTACAAGGCTATGGAGTTGAACATGGGTAGTCGTAATCTCAAATTTGGGTCGGCTGTTGAACGATGGTTATAAAAAATCAAAGCCATTAGAAAATTATTTTTTGATGGAGTAATTTCACTTTTCTATTAATTTTTAAAGAAGGAAATTTAAATTATAGGAAGGAATGTTATAATTAAGATTATGTTAATGATTCCTGCCATTTTATGATACAGATTATATAATAACATAAAATAAAAACTAATTACGGAAAGTAATGTTCTCCAATTATTGATTGAATATTTAACCAAGAAACTATATTCCACATTGTTTCTAAATTTTTTTACTTTATTTGTCGGGGTTACTTTATTTATAATTTTTTAACTTTATTTATAGGTAAATTAGATTAAGTTTTCTAAAAAAAGTATTAATAAGATGTTTAAATGTTACTTTTATATACTTTTTTTATTGTTTTAAAAAAATTCATGTTCTTGCATTTCAAAGTACTTATATTTCTTCAACATCATGACAAAAGCCAAACTTAACAATTTGTGTTGTGGTTTCTCAGGGTTAACAGCATTCACCTGCCAGTGAAGTGATTCAGGTTAGAATACTAGGGGTGGCTGGTTGGTACGAATTCTACTCCCAACTGACCACTGGGCTAATGTAAAATATTCTCAGTGGTTGACTAACCATGGGTTAAAATCCCCTTTCTATTGGACTAACTGTGGGAGGTTTTCCCTGTTTTCCTTTCCACCTATCTGAAATACGGGTTAGTTTCATCAAAAAATTCTCTAAGAAGGCTGATTTGTCCTTTGCTTGATTCAGGAGTTCCCTTGTTTGCTGAGTTAGATTCAAAATTACTCGGCGACGGAAATAAGAATTGATGGTTGTAAACTCAGATTTGAGTCGGCTGTTCAATGTTTTTTACAAAATAAAAAATTTATGAGGAGTATTTTTACTCCAATTAAAATATTTTAAAAATAGAACTCAAATATGATGCTTTAACTCTGCATTCAGATCATATATGCTCTTTCTGCTCAATCTAAAAATTAAATCTAGTCAATCTAAAATTAAAATGATATTTTCTTACTCACTGAATTATATTTGCATAGTTAGGCACATTTCTCTACCAAAGGTTCCACAAATGATAAACAATTTGAAAAAATAAGAAAAATGGGAAGAGATAGATATGTAAGGTTTGTTGCCTTCTATTTAGGAAGTCATGTAATTTATTTTCTCCAAGTTTCAAATTAAGTTACAGAACTTATCAATAGATGGCACTTCTGATTAACAAAAAAAAAAAAAAATTCTGCTGCATCTTAAACATTTCCAACTGAAAATATTTGCTTGACTATTTGTTAATTTTGCCCATAGATTAAGCCATATTGTTTTTCAAATTATTATAAAAGCATTGTTTTAAGATTTTTCTTATCAGTACCATCTGTTGACAAACTTTGAGTAATATGGAAACTTGGTGAGAATAAACATCTGATTTTCTACTGAGGAATACATACATTTAAATTCATACATTTCTTCTATCTTATCATATTTCCTTTATCATATTCTATTACATTTTTCTTTTATACAGTCAAACTTCAGTATCACAAACTTTAATATTGTGAATTTTTCCACATCACAAAAAAATTTCAAAACCCTCGTGTTAGCTATGTTGCTAACTGAAAAAAACTTCTTTAGCCACACATCTTGGTGATCTTTAATTTTATAAATATTTTTGATCACCCAAATTTTTTTTCACGATTTCTTAAGAATTTAAACTGTTTTTTGAATTCCAATTTTAAAAAAGTTTTCTTGAACAATTTTATGAAACTGCAGTATGAAAGAGATTAGCATGTTTTAAAAGAAATCAGCTTAGTTATTTATTCCTAAAGAAATAGACATACAAGGTGTTTGATAAGAATATTTGCACATGAAAAAAAGAATAACTTGTTATTTAAATCGAACTGATATTTTTGAGGAAGTTGACAATATTGTTTAATATGTGCTGATTGTTTTGAGCTGAATTTTTTTGTATCAATCTTGTTTAAAATAAATATTAAAAAATATATAAATTAAATATTAGAAGATATTTTTTAAAGTAAATATACGTGTAATGCAATTTTTTAAATCTCAGTACAATTATTATTTTGACTGAAATGTTAAAAAATATTCATTATTTGATAAAAGAATATTGATTTTTGATATCTCTAATTTTTGATTCCCTATGAGTCTTCAAGGTTTGACTGTGTTTTATTTTTTCTTATTTCTTGAATTGATTTTTTAAACTGTTTGTCATTTTTCGAACAATTGTATCTGTTTTCAAATGACTTCATTTTGAAATATATTTTTTTAGAAAAAATAAAAAAGCTGTTTGCCCTTTTTTTAAAAAATTTTTCAGATATTTTTTTTTCTAATTGTATGATTTATTTATTTCCAGGATCCTACATATACAGTGGCGGTGGTGAATCATGCCTTGTAAAATGGAACTTATTTAGTGAGGAAAAGTGGGTTCTGCCACGTTTGGGAACACCTATTCGTTGGGTAAAAGATTCTCCTGATAGTAGCCATGTTGTCGTTTGTCTTGAAGAAAATAGTAAGTCCTGCATTATTTTCGAAATAAAGATGTTAAGCTGAATTTTTAATGTTTTTGACATTATTTTTCTTGTTCTTCCAAATCATTTAAATTTAAGGTTATCATCTGAAAAGAATGTATAAAAATGTGTTAAATGGTATATAATAATTATAAAGTTAATTTTGTCACATTATTTATAAGTACAGTTGAACTCGTTTATAACGAGCACAAAGGGACCATAACATGTACTCGTTAAATCCGAGTGCTCGTAATAAACGGTCCTTAAGGCAGGCGTGCAACCAGAAGAAGGGGGGGGGGCTTTGGGAGGTCAAATGACTGAATTTACTTAAAATTTAATTAATACTTACTTACTTTAATTACATTAATTAATTTAATTAAATACTTTTCTTAATTTAATGACAACTAATCCTCCCCCAATCAGCAAAAAATTAGACAGAAAGTATAGAAAGATGAGAAAAAAGATTGCAAGACAGAAAAATATTGCTCGCTAAAACCGGATCTTGCTCGTTAAAAGCAACTTCTGTTCCATAGACTTAACATTGATCCATCCAAATATTCTCGTTTCCCTCGTTAAATCCGAGTTCTCGTTAAATCCGAGCTCGTTATAAACGAGTTCGACTGTACTTTATACTTTTTATTCCACTTACAATTTAGTGGATTATTTTGATCAATTGAATATGTGTATGTGTATATATATATATAAAATCCTTTTATAAGTATATGCTCCTTATTTATCATTTTAGCTTTACGTTTAATTGATCCCCAAAGAAATATAGTGGGGGTAATTCAAGGTTTAACTAGAGGATCGTTTCGTGGTGACCCAAGACAAAGTGTATTATCGACTGGTTTGCTTTATGACCCTCAATCTAAATCAATTGTTTTAAATGGCAAAGCAGGACATTTACAATTTTACAATGTGTTTGAAGACAAGCATATGTATGAGGTAAGTGACAAAGTTTTTACTTGATTAGGTTATATTGTGAATCGCCTTTAATTGTAACCTGAAAAAATTTATTTTGTCAATTACAGGAACATTTTTAATTGCTTTATAATTCCCTGTCTGCAAAGTCGTAATTTAAAATGATTCAAAGACATTTATTGAAATTTAATTGATTAATTAATTTATATCTAATAGTAAATGTTGAAAAAAATCAAGGAATTGTAATTGTTAATATTCGCTATATTTTATATTTGTTGTATTTAAATTCTCATCATGATTAACTGCAGATAAATAAGGTTGTAATTTTATATTTACAGGGAAACCTTGGTTAAGTGGACATTCTTGAGACTGAAGAAATTGTCTGTTTTTGAGGGTTGTCCGTTTACGGGAAGAGTACCCAAATAATGAAGTTTAACACCGTTTATTGTTTTTAGAATATTTTGAAAGATGTAGAAATAATTAAATAATCTACAATATCTAAAAGAATATTTATTTAAACTGTGAAAAATATTTTTTCGATAAAAAAGAATATATTAAAAAGCTTGATATAAATACATAATTCTAGATGTAGCTACAGATAAATAAATATAATTTTCCTATTAGCTCAGATATTCAAGTTAGAAATATGATATCGAATTGAAGCTTTTAGTCCTCAGCCGGTTTCAATCATTAGGTTTAAAACCCCTAACACTTACCTATCACTATATAGGAAACATCGGGTAATAACTACTTGAAAGTAAACCTTCCAGGAATCTCAGAAGGTATACCTGTAAGTCATGAGGACCTATGTAGTTGATTATTCAAAATTAATCATCTATCAAGTGTTTGAATAAATGTTTCATTTATATGAACATGTCAAAGATTATACTTCTGTTCTCTTTTTTTAATCCCAGCTGTGTTAAATACAGTCTTTAAATTGATAACAAGATGAAAGAAATTTTCAGTGAAGAAGCATTGAGAGCATTTAAGATTGATGATTGACTTGAGGGGTCTCATAACCAATGTCCTCCAGATGAAAAGATCAAAAAATGCTGTCAGAATTATTTCACAAGAGCAGTATCATTTTCTCTCTTTTCTTTGCAAAGGCAAGAGGACAGGAGAAAGATTGATTCCTTAGTAGTAAAATAGCTTAATATTTTCAGTTGTTGATAAGGCAAAATATTTACAAGCTTTAAAAATGGTGAAAAGTTAATTATTTTTACTTGCAATTTGAAGCAGAAAAATTTTTTTTTCTTCAAATTTAGAAAAAAGTAGTTTCTGGTTTGAAGAGATAAAAAATGACGGTTAAGGGGAAAAATGATTGTCCGCGCCCGATTACGGGACTGTCCGCTTTGTGGAGAATGTACATAATGGTTTATTCATAGAAGATTCCTGGAGAATTAAAAATATGTCCATATGTCATAATTTGTTGTTTTTAAAAGACATGTAAGATTCACATAAATTTGATGCAAGGTGGCTTTTTATAGTCAATACAATAAATATATACAATTTAGTTTGGGTTCTCTCATAATATTCTCGTTACATTCACTAGTTTGCAAAGACAAAGTTAGTTTCCTTTTCAACATAGACTTCCATTGAGATAGGGTAAGATAGTCGCCTTAGCTTTCCCTTCAACATGAACTTCCATAGTGGATTGGGTACTATAGTCACCCTTACATCCAGGAAAATGTTATAATGGAGTCCTAATTTATACTTGTTTTTGAATCCGTCAATCACGGTCATTAATATTGGGGATTTATTTATTTATTTTTAAAGGTATTTAGGGAATGTTAGTGGATTTAAGCATTTTAATGTGCTTGTCATGGTACAAAGGTTTGTCATCTTTGACCAATAGCCTGCAGGCCAAAAATGGTCCATAAACACTGTTTTGACTTGGCTCCTAAATTTTCTTAAATTTTGATTCAAATCTAAAAAAAAAAAAGTATAACATCAAAAATCTTTTTTTTTCTAGCTAGTTACTGATCTAGTTCAGATTTTATTTAGGTTTTGTTCACAATGTTTGAAGTGAATTGTATTTTCCAACTAACTAACTCTACAAAGAAATTAAATAATTAATGAAATGACTAAATAAAAAGACAGTTGTTCGTATTCTAGTCATAACCATAAATTTGTTAATAAAGTTCCTAATACAGTATCATTTATCTGGTACTCCGTTAGGAACTTTATTATCAAATTTTGTTACATGAATAATACAAAAAATTAATCTTTTTAATAACGTTGGAATAAATAAAAATTCGTACTCCCCCTATTACTTTTATTTACCTGTAAATTATTGTGATTGTTTACATCGTAATCTTATAACTAGTATATTTATTTTGATTTATTTACATGAAATAAATTTTTTTTTTTCATGTTTCAGTTAGATATTTCCGGTCGAAACTTTATTTCAAATGAGCGGGAACACTTAAATTACAATGTTGATATTTCCAAAGCAGCTGTTGATGAGAGAGGCCAATGGTTAGCAACAGTAGAATATTGGAGTAATGGTGAAGTGAATCCCATGGTTGATCTTAAATTTTGGGAATTCAACTTGACCAAACAAATGTAAGTAATTTTCACATTTTAAAGAAGAGTTATTGAATCTATTTTTATGTGAAGAAACTTATAGCTTCATTATTAGTAATTTTCCCATCCTAATACGGAGTTATTGAACTTTTGTTTTTATTAGATGGAAATTTTCAAAATTAGTAATTTTTGTATCATAGTATAAAGTTATCAAAAGTATTTTAAGAGATCTTATATTCTCATATATAGTAACTTTAACAATATAACAGAATTATTGAAGTATTTTTTATTTCTTTTTATAGGAGGAAACTGATATTTTCATAATTACAAACTTTCACGCTGTAACATAGTAATTTAGATTTTATTTTAAGGAATTTATATTTTCATATAATTTCAGTAATTTTCACATTATTACAGTATTTTGTTTTTTATTTAGGGTGAAACTGATATTTTCATAATTACTAATTTTCATGCTGTAACATAGTAATTTAGTTTTTATTTTAAGAAAACTATATTTTTATAATTAGTAATTTTCATGTTATAGCAAAGAAATATTATATAAATTCTTTTAGGAAGGAATTTATATCTTCATTCTTGAGTAGGGTTTCATTCTAAATGTTTCATTTTTTTTAAAAAACAAGCTAAGCTCATAATTTTTTACATTTTGAGAAAAATGTAATTTTGCTGTTTGAATTGTCTATTGTGACATTGCTGTATGTTTCTGACCAGGTTTTCATCGTCTTTTTTCATATTGCTTTATAATCGTAGAGAATTGCAAAATGCCTCGAATTGATGTTTTGTTTATGTTGCTAATTTTAATTATTAACTGAAAGATATTCTTTACAATACCATTTAATTTAATACATCATTAAAATTTTTTTAATTGCATTATTTTATGTTAAAATTTATATATTTATATATTTTGCTGATTAAAAATCAAACGTGATCAAATTATTAAGTTAAATTAAAAGAATTTAATAAATTTTTTTTGCTCTCTTTATTCAATAATTCATTGTATTTCATGTGTACTCATTTATTTATCTTTAATGAATTGTTATTGCAGTTAAAATAATTATTTATTTTTCTGCATTTTTTACTGTTCATTTGATAAAACCGTATTATTTATCATTTCTTTGTCACCTGCTCAGGATTCTCCTTTTGATGATGAATATGCTTTTCATATTTGTATTTACTTTCGTATTGTTATCAAATAAATATTTAAAAATATTTATTAAATAAGTAATTAAATATATTAATAGGCTTATATACTTAAACGAAATTCCTTAATGTCTATTTTTATGTCCTTTCTTTTTAAGTGACATTTGATTAGAATTGGCGATTTTCAGTTTCCCGATATTAAAACTAAATTTTAGCTGGTCATTTTGTATTTCAATAAAATAAATAAATTATCGTAGATGTTAATCAGTAATAAATTTGTTAAAATTAATTTTAGGAATGTGTTATTAAATAAATTTATAAATGGTAATTCATATCTCATTAATTTATTCATCAATACTCTAGAATTAAGTTATGAAATACTCTAGAATTAGAACTTTTTATTATTGTAGGGTTTTCATCTTTCTAATGTTATCAAGCTCTTAATAAGGTTTTAAATTTTTTTTATAGATTTATCATGAACACAAGAGTTGAGTTACCTCATAATAAAGAAATTAACTGTGTTATATTTCGGCCTTATGATGCTTCTGACACAACACCTATAGTTATAACAACAAGTGAAGATTGTCATTTCAAGACTTGGGCCCTAATTGATGATACAAGTTTTGGTAGGCATCTTAAGTATTTTATTCACTTTGGTTTTATAAATCACATTTTTATTGATTAAAGTTTGCAGCTTGGAAATTTGTTTCTTATTAATGTGTGGTATCAATTAAGGTGGACTGGAATTGAAATATTTTCATTGGTGTATCTGAGAATTCAGCGTAAAACTTTTTATTAAGAAGTAAAAGTAGCATGTTTGATTCAAAAATTAGATTGTGTTGACACTCAGGAAAATTTTAAATAAAAACTAAATTTTGATTAAGAAAATGTATGCTCTACTATCATTTGCTAGTATCATTACTAATCATTACTATCTACTATCATTACTAAATGGTGCTCTACTGCTCTCCAACCTTTTTAAGGCCACAGACAAGTCAGCGTTTGATAATTTTACCGCTGCCTCTTAATAGGGGGCGCCAATATTGATTGTTAATATTTTATATGGTTTATATTTAATAATTTTAATTTAATTGTATTTAAACATGCCTTCAAAGCAAAATATAATTATATGCATGGTATGGGTGCAACTTTGGGTGACAAATCTTAGTTTGACAAATCTTAGTTCTCTGATTAAGTTTTATCTCAACTCCCAGTTAACCTCCTGTCCATAGAAAGTTGCACAAACCAGAGAGAATACACCACAGTAAATAAAATGGAAATTAATGTTCTTAATGCAGCTCAGAATCATTTGATCTACCAACCTTGATCGATCCTCGGCTTAGGGGTTGAGGACCACTGCCTTGGGACATAGAGCATAGAATTTTATTGAAATCCTTAAAATATCTTTTTGAAACATAAAAAATTACCTGAAAATTGTAAAAAATTGTATTATAATTGAACACGAATTTTTATCAGAAATGTAATTAATTTCTGAAATTTATATAATAGTATTATTGTTAAAGTATGTATAATAGCATTGTTAAAACATGTATAATAGTATTAAATTACTGTGTTAAGAATTGAGATTGTAGTGATATGCTATATTTTTTTTCCAAGCATGATACTTTTTTCTACTTCAAACTGTTTCCAGTTAGGTTATTTCAGCTACTGGAATTTTCTGTAGATAATAGCATAATACACAGCAACAACTTATTATATATGTAAAATATTTTTACCGAAAATGCTCTCCTTTTACAATTTGAAAATGTGGCCTTTCAAAATATTATCCCCAACTCTTATAAATACAGTAAAGTAAATTTACCCTTCAAAGTTGAAAAAAAAATCAACCTGTTATAATAAATTTTAAATCTTATGCTATCACTATGTGTATATTTTTAATTTAATAAAAAAAAATGATTCAGCTATGAAATGCAGTTAGCTGTAATACTATCATCTGCTGCCCCTGAAAGGTATGGTATAGAAATTTAGAAAATCAATAAGTTGAACTGAAATTCGCAATTCCATTGTTACATGCACAACATTGAGAAATTAATTCACCTTAAGTTTAGCATACAGCTTAAGGTTTTTATAACACCTAAACAGCAATAATTAATTTGCTTGTGTCAAGTCTATAATTTCTTTTAAACGTAACATGACGTTATAATCTCTGATTATTTATCCCACGACAGGTAAAAAGCCTGCACTTTCTTCATATTTTATTTTTTATCAAGCTTTTTCATGACAGATTTTATTTTTATTAACAGAAGGAAAACAGAGCTGGGCTTGTATATTAAAAAGCCATTATCGTGAACACCTACCCGCTGGTGATGCCTGTTTCTCTGAAGATGGTTCAGTACTTGCAATAGCGGTTAAAAACATTGCCACTCTATGGACAGATAATGGTACACAATTAGAAGCTGCTCTTTTCCAAGAAAATAATGAAAGACCCATCAAGTAAGATTCTTACCCTCAAACTTGTTCTTAGCTTCAAACTTTAACCCTTTGTAACTCAACAACTCTGATTTAAGAAATATTTACGCGAATGTTAGAATACATCATATTAAGCGTGTAAAAAATAATGAAAAAATTAAGACCTTAAAATTAAAAATTTATTGATAAAAAACATGTGTTGAACATCTCCAATATCGTGAAAAATAGGACAAAAATTCCAATATATTTAAAACTTCATGTGAAAAATTTTGAAATTGTTGTTTTTATGGTAACAGTCTCACACCACATTCTTTAATCGCTCCTAAGCCAAATATACAATCAAGGGGATTGTTGTAAAAAAATTGTATATCCTGCATTATGTCGTGGAACAATTCGTGCTAAACGCATTATAATATTGGTAGCTGCATCAAGACTTGGTTCCCCCGAGTTTGCAATATTTTCTTTACCTGAATTTAGTTTGATTTTTATAGGTAAATCCAGCTCATTATAGGATTGAATTTTCATGTATGTTGCAGATATGTAACACGGTGATACAAAGGGTTAAAAAAAAATATTGTTTCAGAAAATTAGACTATAAAGGTTGTTTTACAAAAGTTTAAAGTAATGTTTTTTAAATGGAAGAACTTAAGCCTACAGATTACCACAATTTTAAATTGCTTATATTTTTTTTGCATGCTATGACGTTCTCAGTAATTGTATAGTTTTGAAATTGTTAATTCATTTTGGATTATCTTTAAATTGTGTCTGTGCTTAATTTGCATTTTATTTGGTAGAAAGGAAGAAATTATTTAAAAGTTTAGTTCCTGTTAAATAAAAACAATTTTACAAAAAGAAGATAATGAAATTGTACATGAATGAAAAATTTTAAGTTGAAAAAAGTAAACTATTTACATCTTTATAAAAAGATATAAAATGAACATGCTTATTAGTATATGTTCAGATACTTTTGGCCAAATAATGTATAATAAGCGGGAAAAAATGTAGCTTGGTTATAGATTCTTTTCAATAATAACAATTCTAATGGTGTTCAATTTTTATAATTATATTGAAAGGTAACTCCTATACCCACCTATCAAAAACTTTAGTAAATTCTGTCTAGGCGTGTGCAGGCTGCATTGATGCAAAACCAGACCAACATTATATAAATGTATGCCTCAGGACTTACGGAGCTCATAATACTGGATGTCCAGATAATGTATAATAAGCACAAAAAGAAAATGTAGCCTGGTTATAGATAATTTCCAATGATAGTTCTAATAGTGTTAAATTGTTATAATTATACTGAATGATTTTAAAATATTTTTTGCTGACATTTGACCCCAGGTGAACAAACCATTCAAGAAAAATTATAATTTGTATAATTGTGTTATAAGATTTGCTAAGAGTAAGAGATAAGATTTGCTAAGAATAAACTTATCTAGTTCCTCTGATTACACTTATTGGCTAAGAACTTTTACATTTTCTTGTGAAAGTACTTTCTTTTTTTTATCTAAACTTGATTTTCACAGTAAAAAATTGAAATATAAAATGGCTTTGGAACAGTATTTGTGTCATGTGTCTGTGTTTGTGCAGTTTGTTATCAACAGTAAAGAATTTTGAAGCCACAGTGTATATGAATTAACAAATATTTTTATTTACAAAAAACACTATGTAAATATTATGGGGATTAATAAATATATATATTGACTAAAAATACTGTGTAAATAGTTTAAGAAATAAATAGTTTAATAAATAATAAGTATAAAAAATATTATTTAAAAAAAATTATATATTTTTTTAATGTATATATTTACTAATTAAAGTACACTAGAATCTCATTAATTTGAGTCTCAGTTGTTCGAGTTTCCCATAAATCTGAGCTAGTGGAAAAAAGTCAGTCTTGCTCCCAAATAATGACAAACGCACACGCAACACGTGGAGCGGTTACAGCAATAGATTTTACATTGATTACTATGACTGAATGTTAAAAAGTGATATTGTGTGTTCAGCTCTGAAATGTGTGAATAGTGTGCTTAAGCAAAAAACATTAGACGATTATTTCGAAGTTCAATTTACCTGCTACAGTAATATAATGAATTTTATAACTTGGTTAAATGTAGTAAATATTCCCTGATCGTCTAATGTAAGTAAATTTTCTTTAAATGTAATATATTTTTCAGTTAAATGCTGAAATTTAAAAATAGATTTTTTTCCTCCATTAATTGAAATATTTATTAAATTTTTGCATTTTTGATAATTTGGGTTTTCAAAAGTTCTAGGGAGGTTCTGTCTAGAATTATCGAGACTCTACTGTATTGATAAAATCTAATAATATTGTTTAAAATCAATATTATAACAGAGATGCTAAATAATTCTAGTTCCTATAGTTGTAATTATGATTTGTTACAAACTAATCATTGAAAAAATGGAATCATCATTATTTTCATTCAAGCTGACTCTAGAATTTGTAAAGACAAAGACCCAATTTTTTATTTATATATCAGATAAGGAAAAAAAATTATTTAGATCAAGGAAAAAAAAGTTTTATTTTTATATTACACAAACTACACAAAACACATTATATTACACAAAATTTATATTGCACAAACTACATATTTTCTAAACTTCAAAAGTATATTCTTGTAATTGAATAGACTTTAAAATTAGATGTGTATAGTTGAAATATGTTTATTTAAAAACAGATATTTTACATACAGCAAATGAAAAAATGAAATGTAAAAGTTTCATATCACTTTTAAATACTTATTGCCTATTTTTTGTCCCGCCTATTTCAAACACTAAAGGTGCATTTACTTGCTTTTGGCCTCTCACTATTTCTCTTCGAGATAAAACCTTCAATATCAATAAATTCAGACTTTAAAAAAATTATAACTTTAAAAATATATTTAGATAATATGCTATATAAATATATAAAAAATTTTAAATCATTGATTGAAGTCTAAAACATTTTTTGTACCATTTAATTTATGACTGTTTAAAGTTATGATTTTTTTTTTTTTAGGAAATGAAATTTTCTCATAATTTAAAATATTTTGAGTAAATTATAATAAAAAAATTACAAGAGAATTTTACATTATAATTACATTTATTGAATATTGATTCTTTGCATTGCATGAAAAATAATTTTTTCAAAGAGTGTGTTTAATTCTTTATACATATGATACATTAGTGACTTTTTTCATTTATTATTTATAGGCAACTAAAATTTGGAAAATATTCTTGTAAGCATCTCCTTGTTTGCCATGATGGGTTTTCGTTATACGTTTGGAATGTTCTATCCTTATCTAGTATGTATTAATTTATGTATCTATAATTTTTGCTATAATTGTAAAAATCAAATAATGATATAATTTGAAACTTTAATTTGGCTTAATTTTATGTATGGTTGAATGTTTGTGATTAAAGAACCTTTTTTTTAAATTAAATTTTACCAAATACAAGGTCTTTAGTTTTAGAACCAGATTGTTTAATATGTTCCTCATTAAAATTTAATATTCAACTTTTATGTGTTTGCTTTAATATTTAAAGAATATCTTTACCCCATTAAATTTATAAGAAACAGATTACCTTGGATGCATTTTCATGCATAAGTAATTTTTATTTATTTGCTTATTTATTTTGTAAACTAAGCTAGTTGCCACATATATAATCTTTTTTTAATAGTTTATAATGTTAAATATTAGATGCGATAAAGGAAAACAATTCTTTACCTTTGCAATGTTCTCACAATTTAGTTTCTTTTTTTTTAATAGGAAGCTTGTTTAAAAAGAAGTCTCAGCAATTTTTCTCCATTTGTTTTTTTTTAAATAAGAAGAAAACTTAGATAAAAAGTAATTTGCAAATGCTGTAATAATCTGCAACGCTTCTTGCCAAGTAAGCTTTACTCTAAAGAGACTAGGTAGAGATAAGTTTAAATAAAAAATATGAATTATCATACTTTTCAGAATAACACAACAATATTATTCTTAACAGATTAAAAGTTATTTAATTTAATTTTAATACTTTAGATAGAATTTTTTAAATTTAATGCATATATGAGAAGAGAAGAGATATTTATGATATTGAAATTATCTCTGTTGGTTTTGTAAGTTTTCCAATTTTATATATGATTATTTCACTGTCCTTTTACTCATTTCACTTTTTAAAAAAACAGACAATCCTCATTACAGGGATGAGATTCTTCCGCGGATTCGCGGATTTCCGCTTTTTTTCAGATTTTTCCATTTTTCCCGCTGATTTCCGCTGAAATTTTTTTTTTGCACAAGTTAAAATATTTTATGAGGAATTTAATTTTCCACTGAGCGAAATTACTGAAGTCTTTATTCCACCCTCTGAAGTTTCTCTAAAAATCATTTCCTTGGGATACAACTGGTTGATCTTTATACAGGGATGAGATTCTTTTTGTCTCTCGAATTTCAACCTTTTTATCAAAAACTCCGATTCTCGTTTCGTTTTTTTAATAAATATCTCGCTTTTTTTTTAAAATTCAGTCATTGAAGTAAAATAATTATATTTATTTACGATTTTCAAAGATAAACTGAAAATTCAAACTACGTCCTAGCTTACTTACATTTGCTGTTTTCTCCGATTTCACGCACAGAAAATAAGATTTTCCGTATTTTTTATCCGTCGGCGGGATAGCTCGTATTTTCGTAATTCAGACGTCGCTGCTTCTTGTATTCTGGCGTGAAAACAAACANAATTATATATATATATTTTAGTAAATAATTTTATATAAAGGTCATGATTTTCAAAAAATACAAGATCATAACAAATACAGTACAGAACCCGTTATCCGGAAATCAGAAAACCAAAAAACCGGAACGAAATGTGATAAATTTTCCCGCCATTTTTTTTAATAAATGTTTTTTTCCTCATAAGATTTTAGGATTTTTCTTTCTTTTTTGAAAGATGTTTACCCTACGATCATTTTGGAAATAATCATTAGTGTATTACTTCATCGTTTTTTTTTTCTTTTTAAGATTATTTCCAAAATAATTTTTTTTTTAGTTGGGTTTAACAATAAAAAAAACGGCTTTTTGTGGGGATTCAGAAAACCGTAAAAATCAGTTATCCGGAATAGTGATGGTCCCAATCGCTCCGGATAATCGGTTCCCTACTGTATATGATTTAAAAAAATATTAAATGTCTGTGTTCTTTTTGATTATTTATTTGAATACTTATCTCAGGAGTTATGAAAAAGTTATTATCCTCAGTTTGTTCATATGTAAAGAGGACTTTATAGTGTGACAGATAAAAGAATATAAATATTTTTAATATACTTATCAATAATTTGGAAAGAAAATTTTTGTTGTATAGCACTAGAGTGTATCTGAAGGAAGCCTTTTTCTGTATTTACTTATGATCTGAATTTATTTAAGCAATTTTTAATTTTTTTTCTTAGAAAATGAGTATTGTCAATGAAATATACCTTTTGCTAGTGTTTAAAAAATTTATGGTCACATGATTAAAGTTACTTCAGTTAAAAGTATTTAAAATATAAATTGCAGCGAATCCTTTCTCATAGCATGCAACTATAAGTGCTTTGAAAGATTAAAAAAATACAACAATAAAATTAAAAGCATGCACCAGTTTATTATAAGTTTCTGAAAGATGTGTTTACAATAGTTAATGGGATTTTGGATAAATTAATTTGCTGGTTGATTAGATTTTGTTGGTCAGTTTGAAAAATATATGGTCGTGAAGTATTTACATTTTAAGTTTTATAAAAGTATTGCTCTTTGCCTTCATAAGTAAGTTTTTTAATGACTATAAAAAATTTTAATTTAAAAATAATTTTTTTCAGATGTTATACTTTTAGTGTAGTGCAGAAAGTTTTTTTCTCTCTGCTTCAATATTAAAAGCATCTAATTAAAACTTAAAAAAAACATCTAATTAAATTTTAAGTTATGCCATAACTCCTTGTATTTTAGTGATATGATATTTAGTGAATCTTTAAACTAAATTGTATAAAATATGTTTACTAGTTTATATTTACATATTTATTTAATATAAATTCATCGAATAACATTATAATTGTATAATTGTAAGCATTGATGATTTTGGTAAAAAAAATAATTTTGTTCTTTTTTCAAATGTAGTGTACCTATTCAAACCAGATAGTCCTAACCCTTTGTTTGTCAAGAAGAATGTATCTGAAAAACCTGTTTTGAGTTCACTGTTTGTACCAAAGAAGGTGAAAAATGGCACCAATGAAATAAAACGGAGTTCTCTCGAAAATTCTCAGCTATACTTTTTTAATGAAGACCAGGTAATAAATCTGTAAAAAAACTTAAAGTTGTACATTTTTAAATCTTCATTTGAGTTTATTTTTCTAATCTATCAAATTGGTACAATATTTCTTAGCAATCGTTATTTCTTTTACATTTTTAGTGTCTTCTTACTATGACAGATAACCATGATGATGACTTTGACAGTAATTTAGAAAAGGTATGTTTTTTTTCTTTTTCTTCTTCTTCCTGATAATGAATATCTACATTTGTTAAGGAAAAATTACAAATATTGCGATAACTCTTCTAAAAATAAGCCAATTCCAATGAAATTTGAATATGCTGTCACATAGTGACGTAATGGAATGATGTCACCTGCAATGAGCATAAAATTATATGTTTGATCCCAAGCCTGCAAATTTTGCTGTTTCTGAAATTAGAAACTTAATATAGTCAATTTGTAAGGCATCATTTGTATGAAGAACTGCGATGGAGATCTATTGGAAGACTAGAGGCATTACAAAGTCAGACAGAAGTGACCAGGTGGCTAAATTTGAGTCCTACGGTCGTTCATAGACTTGGGCAACAATTTCTAACCACAGGTGCGGCATCCAGAAGGTTCAACCAAAAATGGCCAAATGTTACGACAAGTCCGAAGCACCGATTTAACAGTACTGCGGCTTTATGATAATAAATATTTAGATGTATTACATGCTGACCTATTTTTCATGTAAAAATAAGCTTTTGAACAAGATGAAATAAAAATCAACACTTCTAATTTATGTCATAAATTCTTTTTTGATTTTAAATAAATATAAAACTTTTGTAAAAAATATGCAAGTAAGCATAAGTAAATAATATTACATCAGAAATTTTTGCTACTATCATTCAATATTTTGAATCTAACTTTTTGGTCATTAATATGTATTATCTTAGCTACATTTTCAGTTATTTGATTTATGTTTGAAATTGCTTTATTTTTAATGTTAGATCAAAATGAAGAGGACCTTGCCTATGACACCGTTTGGTTTCTTACAAGCACAGCAAAAAGCATCAGGTGTCAAAGAAATTGAACAAGTACCTCTTGTTATTCAAACTACAGATTCAGCAAAAGTATGTATTTTTTTTTTTTTTACTGGATAATCTTAACAGTACATTTTCTGGATTTAAAATGAATTGTTGTTCATGGTTTTCATTAAATTAATATTTTATTTATTTTTATTGATTTCATTGATTATTTTTATTGATTTATTTTTATCTTTACTTACTTTGAATTTGTTGATTGAATTGAAATCTATTAAGGGAAAATCTGGTAATTATTTGAAGCTTTTTTTAAAAAATTCGTTATAGGTTTTTCCAATTTTTTGGCGAAATTTCAATTTTTAAATTTATTTTAGAAAAGTAGATGTTCGTTAAAAAGATCATATTATTCCTTGCTCATATTGACAAAATTTGCGTATCACGCTTTTCAAATTAATATCGTTATTATTTAATTAAAGCAAACTCTGAGCCCTGCATCTCATTTCAATTTAATTCTACTAACACATGACGATTTGTATTCATCCAATTTAAAAATCAGCTATCTTGATCTGCTTTCATACGATTTAAAAATCACCCATCGTGTTCTTCCAACTAATTCAGTTTACAAATAACGCACCTTGATTTGTTTTCACTTAATTTGAAATCGCATGTCATGCATGTCAAAAATTTAACATTATGTTGCATCTACAAGCAATTTAAAAATCCCTCATCGTGATCCGTATTCACATTACGATATCTTTACAGCGTAGACAATATTAAGTCTGCAAGTTAAGAAATGTTTCTAATTATAATTTAAAACATTAACACTTAAATTTAAGGTTCACATAAGGTCTACAAAATATTTTAATTTTTTTTAATAATTTTTCTTTAGCTATGTATATCTTTTTTTTATTACTGAATAGCAACTTAAGTCATGTGAAAAGTGTGTAGGTATTTTTTTCTCTTTAAATAATTTTGCTTAGAATTTTTTTTAAATTCATTTTAACTTTTAAGTTGTTATTGAAATTTCATTAAAAAGAAATATATCAAACCCTCATTTACGAAAATTAGAATTTATAGCTTTCTGAATGCGAAAATTAATAACAAACAAATGAATATATAGATACCCCCTATATACACTTTTTTTCTTATTTTAGTTTTAGGGAGTTTTTTCTTGTATTAATTTCTCTTGTACAATTATTGCTCGTTTCGATTTCACTTTTCAGCTTTTTTTTCCAGCTTCTTATCAAACTCATCCTTGTTAATAATTTTTTTTTTATCAATAAATTAAAATATTTACATTTTTATTTGTTGCTTTCACTAATTTATTGTTTCTGTTTTTTTTTATTAGATAATCTGTTTGCTGTTAGACAATCTATTCTGTTTTATTAGATTTAATAATCCTTTAATTTAAAAATTTTTTTTATTTTTACTTAGAATAAAAATTACAACAATAGAAAAAATATGACATTTGTAACATAATATTTTATTAAATAAAACAATGAGTCAAGTTTTTCAGCATGTCAATAAAACAGATTAAAATTTTATGTTTTAAATGAAATAAAAATGACATTCATGTCAATCANTTACAGACTTCACTTTTTTAAGAGACAGTGTACATTTTACAACAAGCTAGCAGTGTTAAAAAATTTTATAATAAATAAACTTGTAAATAATTTTTCATGAAAATGTTTTTTTTTAGTACATAACAAATGCTTTCAATTGGTCATAAGTTGCACAATTTTATGTATGTTTCATTACAGTGTGTAGGAAGGCTAGAAAGTTCTTGAATATTTTACATGCCCTGCCAGGCATGCTACTCAACAACATACATGCCTACATGATATCTTTTTTAAATGTATCTTAATGAAAACATATGAATGTACATATTATTAATCTGTCGATGAAATGACATTAATAACATAATACCTACATCAACACTTCTTTTTAAAGTATAAATTAGAATTATTAATAAATATATAATAACAAGTATTATTTATTATTAATGATGAAATATTAAGCACAAGCAAACATTGAGTTTTGCTTACTTGATAAAAAACTTCATTTGTTTCAAAAATATATAAGTAGGAAGTAACAGTCAACGTGTTTCTAACTCTCAAAAATAGACGTACATTTTTGAGCACTTGAAACATGTTGACAGTTATATCGGATATACCAGGGGTCTGTTCAGGCCAAATTTACTACCGTTTAGCAATACCTTCACAAATTCAACTTAAGGAAAAATACTTTTTCTTAAAATTTTATTTTTTTATCCCTTAAGAAACAATAAATCCATATTTTTGTGTTGATTTTTTAATATAATTTTTAATTTTCACAAAATAGGTACCTCCCAGAAAAACCTAGACAGACCCCTATTTCCAATTTGAATATTTTCTAAGCGAAGGAAATTTTTAAATAAGTAATGTCTTATTGTTTCAGGTTTTTAATTCAATGTCATTTTAGTTTTATAGAGTAATCGATTTTCTTCTTTATTTCCCTCCCTTGCTGGGGTATCAATTCACCATATTGGATCTTTTTTTGTCATTTCCCCCCCATAATTTTAAGAGTGATAAATTGGTATTTTTGCTTAAATGCTTATATGACCCACTGGGTTTGAAGGGAAAAAATTCATGCCTGGTCAGAATTTTTATTTACCTTGGACATGTTGAACAATAACATTTTTGAGCCTTTGTATGTAGGATGTAAAAATAATTGGATCACAAATGCAGTATTCATTAAATGTAGATGAAAAATGCATCATACTTTACAACTTTTAAACTAATGATCAGATATATTGTTTTTGATGGCAGGCACTGAACTTATCGTTCTTCCCCTTGAAAGATGCCGGAAGTGTTGCTCATTTTGTGTTGCCTGGTGAGTGCTTTGTGGCCAAAGTCACAGAGTCGAGTAACATTACCTCCTCCACCCTGCCACATATTCATGGGGTGGACCATATTCACATGTCACATACAACAGAGGACAACACGCAGAGAGAAACATTCTGAACGGTATTCGAACCCACAGCCATCGGCTTCGTAGTCGGGCACGCTAACCACTCGGCCACCACAGATCAGATCAGTTATACCAAATTATAATTTTAATAGTTCATAGACACGATCTTAAATATATTAGTTAATTTTTATAAATAATTATCACAAATGAGATTTAATCTTATGAAACAAGATACAATGCCTACTTTCTCTGAATAAACAAACACATAAATTTTATTTGATAGATTCAGATTTTTCGCTTTGGAAAAAAATAGAGGTGGCTTAAATCTTGGCTTAATCGACTAGAAGAGCATTTAAAAGTCATGGAGCACAGAAGTTATTTTTTACGTTTTTAACATATCTGTACATTTGATTGGGTAGACATTGATAGAAACATTTATAATTCTTATCTGCCCAAAGTCTTCTTTAAAAATTGAATTTTGATAATTATTCCGTAATTTGTTTTTTATAATAGTGATTAAAAAAGCTAAAAGGATTAATTTTTATATTTGAGTTTTTCTTCTCATTTGTAAATTATTTTAAAGCCAAATACGATTCACTACAAAGTGAAGAAAATTGTGGCGATCACAGGTTACCCATTGGCAAAATGGTTGTTATCTAATTTTTTTTGGAAAAGAAACTTTGTTTTTTCATCTTGGACATCTTTAACTGTTAATCCTGAACTGCTCGGTACCCAATTTCTCAGACACATTCTGTATAAATTCTTTTGATGTCTGAAAGGACGAAGAACAGCCAATCAAGATCAATATTAACATTTTTGGATTGGTACAGTGGTGTTTCATGGAGATTGTAAGCTGCATCATACACCAGATTCGGATTCACAAGTTCATACATGAAATATGATTTGAAAGCTAGGCTTTTTATCAATTTTACACCAATAGTGAATGAATCATTTATATTGCGTGGAAGACAGTCTACGGTCTTGTGCAAGTTATTGGGTACGTTGACAGTGGATCCTTTTATCCCTAATTGGTGATCAACACCCAGTTCTCGTATTTGCATGAAAGGGGTTCTGAGAGTCACCATTTGCTCTTCGGTAGGGTTCAATTCTCTCAACCACTTAGGTANGTAGTCAGGCACGCTAACCACTCGGCCACCACAGATCAGATCAGTTGTACCAAATTATAATTTTAATAGTTCATAGACACGATCTTAAATATATTAGTTAATTTTTATAAATAATTATCACAAATGAGATTTAATCTTATGAAACAAGATACAATGCCTACTTTCTCTGAATAAACAAACACATAAATTTTATTTGATAGATTCAGATTTTTCGCTTTGGAAAAAAATAGAGGTGGCTTAAATCTTGGCTTAATCGACTAGAAGAGCATTTAAAAGTCATGGAGCACAGAAGTTATTTTTTACATTTTTAACATATCTGTACATTTGATTCGGTAAACATTTATAGAAACGTTTATAATTCTTATCTGCCCAAAGTCTTTAAAAATTGAATTTTGATAATTATTCCGTAATTTGTTTTTTATAATAGTGATTAAAAATGCTTAAAGGATTAATTTTTATGTTTGAGTTTTTCTTCTTACTTATTGATATAAAACTTTTATAGTTTAATTATTTTATGTTTTTAACATAAAATAATCTTTAAATAAAATGACAGTACAAATTAAATAAATAATAAAAAAAGGAATATGATTGCCAATATTCAAACCCATGTATCTTCTTGATAAACGAGGTGCACTAACTCATTACCATCCCATCAGATAGTGTAAATGATTTTAAAGCCAAATACGATTCACTACAAAATGAAGAAAATTGTGGCGATCACAGGTTACCCATTGGCAAAATGGTTGTTATCTAATTTTTTTTGGAAAAGAAGCTTTATTGTTTTTTCATCTTGGACATCTTTAACTGTTAATTCTGAACAGCTGGGTACCCAATTTCTCAGACATATTTAAATGCAGATCAGACACATTCTGTATAAATTCTTTTGATGTCTGAAAAGACGATGAACAGCCAATCAAGATCAATATTAACATTTTTGGATTGGTACAATGGTGTTTGATGGAGATTGTAAGCTGCATCATACACCAGGTTCGGATTCACAAGTTCATACATGATATATGATTTGAAAGCTAGGCTTTTTTATCAA